CTTCAATTTCCAAATAAATAGTGCGTAATTTTGATTTCGAAATTGCAAGACACTCTGAAAGATAAGGAGGGATTCTAGCAGCTTGAAAACAGGGCTCTCCCTCGGGAGCCCGATCCATTAGTTTTTTTGTTCCTCATTTTGATTTTCGAGTTTATCCATGAGTTGGCGCATTTTTTCGAATGCATAAAATTTTGGATATTTACAACTTTTCTTATAATGACCCCTATTCCAACAGTTATGGCAAATAATATCGTGAGAACTTTCTTCTGAGACTGTCTGATTTCGAGATATAGCATGTTCTGNTCCAAATAATTAAATTTTAATTTTAGGACTTATAGGATAGTTATTTCAAATTTACTGTTTATAGCATATAAGTGTGATTTTTTTTTCATATTCTATCAATAAATTTCTAAAGTTTTGTTGGTAAATTGAGGTCATCTGCCAAGGACATTTTAGACTGTTTCTTGGAAAGTCAGCTGAGCTTGAAAACTTACTGCTTGTACACTGATGATGTGTATATAATTTAAAGTTCATTATGCTGTCAATGAAAAGATGGAAAAATATTTTGATGATGCCTGGACAATCTACAAAATGGGTAATCTATGCACAAATAATAAAGAGTTTGGTGTATTTATATTTGTGATGCAAATAATTTGTTTTTGCATTCTTTCATTATTATATTTGTACAATTTATTTCTCAAAGGCTGACTATTTAATTTGCAAAAATGCTACTTTTTCCTATTCTACCTTCTAAATCTGAGGATTTGTCATGCTCTGCGTTCTCTCCCTTGAACTGTACAGTACGTGCCTCCACCCATATCTACATCATGTGCTTTCTGCAATCAAATATCAGAAAGATGTCAAAGAGAGTTCATTATGCTTCGACATGTCTTTTATCAGATGCAGAACACTTGCATCTCAGAGCTTTCTTCCATTATAAAAGCAATAAGAAATCACATGAGATTATGTTCAGTGAATATAAAGTATATGGCAGGATATCAGCTCCAATTGTAATATTGGTTGCATAATAATGGCAGTTTGTGACATCACATTATTGTAAGAGAAACCATTTCACTTCAGAAAGTTCAAGAATGTTTCAAGGATGAAAAAAAAAAACAGTGAAATTCTCTGAAATCTTTATCCATTGTTTCTCAAGGCACAAAATGTGTATCTGCTTCAAAATTGTTGTCAATGACAGACTATTAATAAAAGATGTATAAACAAATCTGAACCAAACAGGAACTGAGCAGCATCTATGGAGATTTGAGATCAATCTCCACAGAGATATAAACAGCATATTTTTCAAGAAATTCCAAAGGAAAAACTTTACTATATTATAAGATATGATCATAAATTTTATTTTCACTCAATATTTTATAACTAAATGAGTTTAGAAATTTGTTTTCTAAATATATAAAATTCATTAAATCTAAAAACAGTTAAAATAAAAATATTAAACTGTAATCTGTAATTTGAGAACGGTAAGAATATTATAATATAGTTTACTTACANTATTAATTTACTATTATGTACTTACTTAAACACCGATAAACACTATTTAAATTTTTTGATAAAAACAATTCACAACCAAACGGCCATTATTTAATTTCGTTAATGGCCGATTGGGGACGTTTTCTTCACTGCACAACTCCCGAATGTAACGGGAAATACTGATTTACAGGTTCTAAAATTTTCTCTTCCTGTTATATTTAAAGTTCGTAAAAATTTAATAAAAGAAGTTTTTTACGATTATTTTTATTAATACTTTATTGATAATTTTTCATAAATTTAATATTAATTCTATTTAACGCTAATTAATAAAAATATCATTTAATAGTTTTATTTCAGTATTTAGAACAATTTGATTTATTAACTGTCAAATAGGAAAAAAAAATTAAAACAATGGGAGCATGGAAAAGCGGCTTCAATACAGCCGGATCAGTAAGCCTGTTTCATTTGAAACAATTCATTGGCTTGCTCATACAGCTGTATTAAAGTTATTTTACCAAGCATAGAAATTATTATTTTTGTGCTTCTATGGCGCAGAAAGTGTTGAGAAAATGTTCAAGTTTCTACGTGGGAATCAAGGAAATCTTGTAACTAATGAAAATCAGATTTAATTATATGCGATTTGATTCAGTTTTTATTAACTGATGAGCAATTACTTATTGTGACATCGTCACAATGCCGGGCTGCAATTTTTAATCGTATTTTTTATTTTATATAAGTTAAAATATATGCTCTTCACCTTAAATTAGTACTGGCTTACTCCTGTAGATCATGCCTTTCTTTTAACAATATAGTCATGCCGGTCATTTACCTAACACCTTTTGGGGGAAAATTTTTGAATTGAAATAACATGACTTCCGGTTTTCATCGGATGTTTGTATATAGTTAATCGGGGCATCTGCCCATAAAGTTTCCATATCTTGTCCAGACTTTCATCTATCTAACACCATTCTCGAGATTAAGGAATGACAGACGGACGACAATGGGAATTTATAGATCTACATTTTTTTTCCTTCTTCAAATTGCAGCACAATAACTGAAATGTCATTAAAACGTAAATAAATAAGACTAATACACAAAAAATCGCTTTAAATAGTTATTTAATTTTTCCTTTTGTTGGTCGGATATTATTGCTTTAAAAATTCTTAATTACGATAAAGTGAACAGCATCATCCTAATTAAGGGAAAGCTAAAGCATTTTCTAACGTAAAGCTTCTTTCACAGATTGCATTGAAAATCACTAGTTGCTACAGTGTCAAGATACAGCATGATGCTTTCCTTGGAAGTACGTAAGCCGGTGAGTTTTCGTGCCATATGAAACAGGCCATGTCATTGGCTTGATTAGCTGCTTGCCATAGAAACACGCCTATAGTGTGACCATGCTACCTACCGTATGTCTTTCATATTCCTTCCATTTTAGATTTTTCTCAGTATCATTCTATTAGAATTTTTATGTTTTGCAAGTTATTTTAATTTTCAGAATAATAAACGAATTTGATATTTCTTTAATTTTTATTTTCCCAGTTATTAAAACAGAGAGAAAGTATGGCGATTCGGCAAAAATAACCCCCCTCAGATTTTTACATTTTTGGACTTGAGATACTTTGAACAGTCGAGAAATGCAAAAAAAAAAGTGGGGATTTTTCTGTACGTATGGATAGTAGAGTGCATATATGTGGCACGATTTTGTTCACTCTCTTTGAAGATTAATAACGTCTGTGCTTTTTGCCGAAAATTTCTAAAATTTTGCAGGTAGGTTTGTTTATTAGGGAGATTGATGCTATTANAAATTTTATTTTCACTCAATATTTTATAACTAAATGAGTTTAGAAATTTGTTTTCTAAATATATAAAATTCATTAAATCTAAAAACAGTTAAAATAAAAATATTAAACTGTAATCTGTAATTTGAGAACGGTAAGAATATTATAATATAGTTTACTTACAGCTTCTTCTTTGGTCATTGGAGATTGGCGAGGCATAAAAAGCGCAGAGAGATCTGCTTTTGTTTCCTGAGTACTCATCCATTTCTGAATTTAAAAAGAATTACAAAAATTTACTCAAATTCTTAACTAATTTAAAAATGTTATTTAGAATTTCAATAAATATGGAAATTAAAATTATATGTATTATGAAATATAAGATAATATAAAATAAATTTACAGTATGTTTGTTTCACAAATCTTGGTTGATCTGTTGTGATATAGATTTATCCTTGTTATTGAACATAAAACCTGTGTTTATTGTATACAATGAGCACAGGTTTTATGAATTTACAAGATCTAAAGTACATCTTAGATCACTGCATATACTCATTCTAAATATCCAGAGTAAGTAATGTGTACTCTTGGCCAAGATTTGTGAAATAAACTATAAAAATATGATAAGACCAAAACTAGCAATAAATAAATAAAATTTAGTATTGTTATTTATCTNGTGTAGCATAGAACATTTCTGATCTTAACATTTCCTGCTGCAGCAAAAATTTAAAATGCTTCCTATATGATTTAACTGAACAGGAAAAATAATTAAATTTTTTCCTATTCAAACATTGTTCTCAAAATTTAGTCAAATTTATTTACTTTTAAGAGAATAATTATTTATTAAATCATAATTGTATGATCTAAAAACTGAAAAATTTAACTTTATGTCAGTTTTAAAAAATATTTTCAACCTCCCTTAATTAAGCATTAATAAAATGATTCAAAACTACAAAGTATAAAAAAAAATTACTTCAATTATTATTAAGACAGTAATTTTGACTTTAATACTTACTGTTATTCATAAAAGTTTTAATGGATTACTGTATAACATCTGTAAATTGTTTATTTTCTGAATAATAAACTATGATAAACTATGACTAATATTGTTTTACAAAGTAAATTAAAATTGTTTTACAAAGTAAATTAAAATTTCTTAACTTTAAATGAAAACCTTTAAAGGAAAGTTTGCTGTTTCATCAAAACTGTGCAGCATAACTATGCCACGTGCATGCAATTTCACCGTGCATCTATAATTTTCTTTAACTGTATCACCTCATCTCATGTGAACATTTTAATTAATAAATTCAGCAAAATTGGGAAATTAAGCTCAATCTAAAATACCAAGTTTAAAATATCCTAATGTAATTTGAAATACTGATGAAATATATTAATTTATTGCAAATAGTCGAATGTCATCTTGGAACAAAACTATAAACAATACTTTCAAGAATTTTATAATTATAAGAAACAGCAAAAATTTGCACTTAATTCATAATAAAAATAATGATTACAAAACATTAAAAATTGGAAATTTTGTAATTTTGCTGTTTTCTGTAGCAGTATAGTTGTTAAATATGCTACAAAGAATCTTAATATTCACAATTTATTAGAAAATGCCTACTTTTTATAAAATTATGTAATAAATGATTTTATTTCAATGATTTTATTTCAAATGACAAATAAATATAAAAATAAATGACAGTTTGAGAAATCAATGTAGTAATCTACCTAAATGTAAATGTTAACCATCCCATATTGCCAGCATCCCTTCCTTGCCAAAAGTATACAACACATTGAAAATCATCTTCTACTTGTTCTTCATCTTCTACAGTTTCTTCTCCTTCTGGAGATTCAACTGGTACCCAATACCGACATAAGAAGACATAGCATTATTTTATTTTACCTAATTTTCATAAAAACCATTAATTAAATTATGTCAAAAAATTAATAGGAAAAGTAGTTAGGACATTTATAGCAATTGGAATTNGTATGGCGATTCGGCAAAAATAACCCCCCCCTCAGATTTTTACATTTTTGGACTTGAGATACTTTGAACAGTCGAGAAATGCAAAAAAAAAAAAAAAAAAATTGTGGATTTTTCTGTACGTATGGATAGTAGAGTGCATATATGTGGCACGATTTTGTTCACTCTCTTTGAAGATTAATAACGTCTGTGCTTTTTGCCGAAAATTTCTAAAATTTTGCAGGTAGGTTTGTTTATTAGGGAGATTGATGCTATTAAATTTCGGTGCTTAAAGGTCGAGGGAGTGGGGAGATAATGGGGATCGTGTATCTCCAATAGGGTCTAAGTTAATAACGATTTTACTTGTTATTACCATTTGCAATGTCTTATATAACCCATTCCTACCCTCAAAATTAAGCTTTTTGCCACTTTATAATAATTAAAAATATAAAAAGTTGTTTTAATAAAATATGATAACAGATGGCGCCACCAAAATTTTAAATGTTGCCGGGAAAGTTAAGAAACTCGTCGCTGATTTATTTTATTTTGAAACAAAATAAAAATTTGAGATAGGATTACTTCCAAATAAATCAAATTAAAATTTTTCGAAGCAATCTACCACAATATAAGATTTTATATTTAAGAATATAGTGTGACAAAAAAAAAAAATGCTATTTAAAGAAAAATGTGATTACTGTGCGAATTTAATAATACACAAGTCATATTAAACATTTATATGTTTTATAACAATATCAATGAATTAAATTATATAAACAACAATGGCACGCACATAAATCTTATTAGAAACGTGAAATTTAATTTGCCTTATCAAAAAAATTTGACCAGAAATATTTAAAGCGTCTCCGAAATATTTTATGTTTTTAGTATCCCAACAACAGTGTCTCATACACAGTTTAAGGATTACCCTGAAGAACTCGCCTTCTACTGTACTATTTTAGATGCCGTTTTTTGTGGAAAATCGAACATATTTTTAGACCCATCTAAAAATTCTCTAATTAGTGTGGGACCTAATTCTTGCACCCAGTGAAAACGGATAAGATCGGTTATAATCTAATAATCTTAATCTTCGATATCGTTACTTTTTGCGCGAGCAACGCCGGGCTCATCTGTTACTTTTTCGCTAATATTTTATATGATAGTTATCAGATTTTTAAAAACTTTAAGCAAACAAGTCCACATTTTAAAGATGAAAATCCATTTACTGGTAACACTTTTTGTGATTGTGTATTCGATAAGTATTATNTACTCATTCTAAATATCCAGAGTAAGTAATGTGTACTCTTGGCCAAGATTTGTGAAATAAACTATAAGAATATGATAAGACCAAAACTAGCAATAAATAAATAAAATTTAATATTCTTGAAATATTAAAGAAAACATTAAAATCTTTTGCAGGGTCTTTACTTTGGAATGTTTTACATAAAAATAAGTAAAAGGATTATATGTTTGGTAAAGCAATTGTGTCAATCTGTTAACATTTTCACAGCTGCCATGGAACTAATGAGTTAAAATTTCAGCTACTGAAATTAAACTGGTGCCATTGAAACAATGCTTATAAATTAAAAATAATGCAAACTTCATACATTAAATGTATTTATTATGATATACAGTTCATAAATTTACATACTAACTCAAAAACTTTACAGTTTGAATGTTTTATATCTTCACAATAAACTTTGAAAATTTTTATTGCTTTTCATTGTTCTACTTGTCTCGTGAGAGAAAAACAATACACTTAAATTCAATGAAATTTCACATTTGGATTAAAATTATACATGAATTAATTGAAAGAGATGAAATATGCAAAAATATTAATAAAGAGTGTTACGGCTAATGGGAATCTTAGCCAGGTACAAGTTCAAATGGTGAGTCCGTACCCCAAGGTTCCAATCTATTCTGGGGTATACGTTCGTTCTTCTTGCTTCTTGCACTCGTCGACGTCCTCACAACCAGAGACCAAGCCAAAGAGTGNAATGCGCTGCTGTTTGTAGGCATTTAGGATATTTCAACATTACAGTTTCATTTTATGTCAATTGTATAAAACACTATTATTACTAAATTAAATTCATTTAGTTTGGTAATAATACTCAAATACCCTATGAGTATCAAAAATATTTATTTCCTACCGATTATAATTAATAAATAAGATCAATCATCATCAGTGTTCAAAAAGAGAAATTTTCCATACTAAATTTCTTTTTAGTTTATGTCTTAATCCACATACTGTATGTTATTTTATATTTATAGTAGAACATAGTCTCTAGTCCTAAGAGTATGTGCTAAATCTGTCTGGTTAAGTCAAATCTGCATCAAATCTGTTAAAAAAATTGCCATATATGGTTATTTAATACCCATATACTCAATGGCTATTTAAACAGTCAATACATGGTTATATTTTGTGAAAAAAATGCATGGTAACAGAAATCAGAAATAGCCAGAAAATATCTGAATATAAAGAGTTATTTTTACATATTTACTGTAATTTTATGTGGATAACCTCACAAAAAATTGCTAAAATAAAAATAAAAATTGCGTGTAACCTGCATCATTGCATACCATCTCCAAAGTGGCATTTGGAAACATGACACTTCCTGATATACAGTTTAGAAGCTTTCTTTAAAAAAACTTCATTTTTTCCCTCCTAATCATTTGTGTTTTATTTCCATTAGCAGTCAATTGTAAATGTAATTTAAAATAAATGAAATGGAACAAAGGGGGAAAAATGAAATATTTCAGACAAAATCTCTCAAACTGCACAAGTATCAAAAAAACAGCTGCCAATTCACAATTTTTTCATCCTTTACCTTCATTTCTATTTTATTTATCAAATAATATTAATAAAATATATAATAAAAATAATAAANAATTTTAAATGTTGCCGGGAAAGTTAAGAAACTCGTCGCTGATTTATTTTATTTTGAAACAAAATAAAAATTTGAGATAGGATTACTTCCAAATAAATCAAATTAAAATTTTTCGAAGCAATCTACCACAATATAAGATTTTATATTTAAGAATATAGTGTGACAAAAAAAAAATGCTATTTAAAGAAAAATGTGATTACTGTGCGAATTTAATAATACACAAGTCATATTAAACATTTATATGTTTTATAACAATATCAATGAATTAAATTATATAAACAACAATGGCACGCACATAAATCTTATTAGAAACGTGAAATTTAATTTGCCTTATCAAAAAAATTTGACCAGAAATATTTAAAGCGTCTCCGAAATATTTTATGTTTTTAGTATCCCAACAACAGTGTCTCATACACAGTTTAAGGATTACCCTGAAGAACTCGCCTTCTACTGTACTATTTTAGATGCCGTTTTTTGTGGAAAATCGAACATATTTTTAGACCCATCTAAAAATTCTCTAATTAGTGTGGGACCTAATTCTTGCACCCAGTGAAAACGGATAAGATCGGTTATAATCTAATAATCTTAATCTTCGATATCGTTACTTTTTGCGCGAGCAACGCCGGGCTCATCTGTTACTTTTTCGCTAATATTTTATATGATAGTTATCAGATTTTTAAAAACTTTAAGCAAACAAGTCCACATTTTAAAGATGAAAATCCATTTACTGGTAACACTTTTTGTGATTGTGTATTCGATAAGTATTATTGCAACTGTTGTTTTAAATCCTGTCTGTAGCTAGTTTCATTGTAACTACTACCATAATCCAGAAGTCACACATTACTTAGAAAACTGTAGAATTGTGTTAATTTCACTCCGGATACAAACCGTACAAAATTTGGAAATATCGATAATGAATTATTATCCAAAGACAAAAGAAATTTAAAATATTGCATATATAAATTGTTTCATTTTAATATTTACGATTATGAAATATTTGTGACATTTTAATAAAATTATTTTTCAAGTAGCTTCTATACAATATTTAACGTCATCTGGAGAGATTATTTTTGCCCACGAGATTAATATCAGTCTGTAAGTAATACGCTTTGTTATTACACACCAAAGTGCGAGTGTTTTTGGAATGTGACCTCACTGTCGGTAGAAGGCTCGTTACTGGAGGAAAGGTAAATTAGGCATATAAGATTTCGTTTTAAAATGGTATCTTTTTAATTTCAATTACACTGGAAACTAGCTTATTCGAAATTCCGATTTATCCAGACCCGCATAAAAAGAGACAGTAGTCGTTAAACAAATAAACCTAATTTCTAGTAATAAACTAATGAAAATTAGATTGCTGTCTTTCGAAACGGTTCGATCTACAAATATTCAAATGCGAATGTAACTTGCTGCAATGACTGAATACAAATAGGGCTGTGGCGACAGCTTTGGCGATAAACCCCAAAGTCGCCACAAGGGGGAACCCCTGACCTGACCTATGACATCACACACATTCTTGTTGGATTTGGGCCTCTCCAGACGTGTGTAGTAACACCTCGTGTATTAACCTGTACAGTCACGCCATAATTCATATATAGAATAAATGATAATCTTTTATTGTATGTGGCCCTGTTTGTAATGAGTAATTTCACACGAACCGGTGACCACAAGGGCTATAGCTTGCGGGTATGAACTTGGTAGCCGTGGAACGTTATTGCTAATTCGTCATTTGGTCGCCTTCCGTTCGTATGGAGATTGTGGTCCTCGGTTTTTTTTTTTTTTTTTAACTCCGTCCTGTGGGCAATAAGAGCGGCCTCTTTTTAGCAAGCCCATTATGAGTTCGGCCATGCCCACAATGGAGGCGGCCGGGTGGTGAGGGACGGGGCCGACATATCCGAACGGACCACCCCCCGAAAAATTCCTGGGGATTTTTCGACCCGTTTGGATTCGAACCCGGGTTCCCCAGAGCGGTAAACTGCCACCTTGACCGCTCGGCCATCCGGCCGCCGCCACAGATTACTAAAAGCGTACACGTGTGAAGGAAGGTGGTGTATGTGTTTGTACTGTACAGTACATCTGCAGATACCATCTAAAATATTTGACTTTTTAATATAATTTGAATATTTTCGGGTAAAAAACGAAAAAGTCGGGATATTCCGGAAAAGATTTCCCGATCGGGACGTGTGACAAGTTTACATGATGTCGCCTATATAAATGTATCAATGCAACAATTTGAATTATAAATAATCAAATTACACAAAATTAGGTACGGTGTAAACATTTTATGAACTTATGCGTTTAACGATTTAAATTATATGTAAAGTTCATATATCATCTGTACAATTATCAACTTTTTAAAGTGAGCTATTCGTTTCATTACAATAAGTAATCTCTCGCTTCAAACGCAGTGTATTATATTTAAATCTATAATATATACTGTATTTTAAAAATATATAATTTTATATTTGTGTAAGTAATTTGTTTTTATTTTTTTACACTTACTAGAAAAGATAACTACAGTATTTATTAAAATATAAATAAAATTTTTTATTTGAGAACAATGTTGCCAACTGAATTTGCGAGAATGTGGCAACACTAAACTTGTAACCATGTTTGTTTACGAGAATGTACGGAGCATGCTTAAGAATGGTTGTTTTAAATAAGTAAAATATATACACGTAGACACAGATAAAAGGTAATATTGGCTATACATATATAACGAATTGATTGATATATTCTTTTTCAGTTAATATCAAGTAGATACACCGAAGCGAATTACAAGTTTAGTATTTTTTTAAAATTATATAATGAAAAATTCTGTATTTAACTATTGATTCTTAAATTGTAATAGTATTGACACACACCAAACATTAATATAAACATTGAATTATTATGCCATCATATAATTGCTGAGATAGACATAGACACACCAAAAAAGTACAAAGTTTTGTTGTTTGTTGTTTGTGTTTATTTTAAATATAAACATAATATGTCTTGAAATCAATAATGTAGTAATCCTCAGTAGGATAACTTTACTTGGTAAGTGTTTCTAAACAATTTCTGGAGACTGCTACAATAAAACAATATAATTAAAATTAGGAGCTCAGAATTTAGTATGTATTTTAGGAATTAAAGAAATGGAATGGTTTTTGCATGAGAGATGTATCACAAACAAAAAAATGAAATGAAAATAATCTGATACAATTTGCATTATATCTCGTTTACTAGGCTTGACAGTGTGAAATGACAACTCAAAATAATAATCAGATAATTTTGAGTTGTCAATCAATCAAATCAGTATGATGACAATGATGATGACGACAACGATAACCAAATTCTGGCTTCAATAAGTATAAGTTTTAATAGTATTTTTTAAGTAAATAATTACTCATTATTATTAATTAAGTAGCAAAAATAGCATTCTGTATGTGTAGCTGTATTCTGTTTGCTTAATAAATTATGTCATTTACGTGGCATTTGGCATGTACAGAAATATGTAAATCTCGGATAATTCAGTAACTTGATTTGAATTATCTGATAACTCAATAATTCAAAGTTGGGATTATTTCATTCCTTGAATCTCAAACTAATGAGGATTTGCTGTATTATTTTAATGCTTAATTTTATTTTGAAAATTGTTAAAGAAAAAAATTCAAAGTAAATCAAACTCAAAATCCATTTATTTTATTTAAAATATTCTCTGATCCAGTGGTACTGTTACTGACTCTAAAAAATGTTGATTTTGCAAAAGACTTTATTAAACAATTTTATATCATCCATGAATTTTTAAGAATGTCTTTATCAAAATTAACTTTTTTAAATTAATATTTTGATAGTTTTTAATGTGTTTTGGGCTTTAGTCACTCAAATAGGAATATTTTTTTATTAGTTTAATTTAAAATTAATAATTATTTTTATTCAAATAATATTTTCATCTAGGGATATTTAAAGAAAAATGAAGATGCAGCTTGTTACTCGCCTTTTTAATTTTGCAAGATCCAGTTTGTGTATGAGAAGATTATATACTACACATATAATATATAGCTGTTTACAAACTCAATTAAAAGTGCCATGCAAATATTCTAATTTGACCTTCAAGATTGTAATGAAACAACATTATGCTACATATTTAGAAAATCAAGAGTTGAATACTGTTTTATTATCACATGGACTGACTGAAGAAGAATTAGATGACATGTGGAAAACCAAATCTCAACTATTGAACTATCCAGTTACACATTGGAATAACACAATTGAAATATTAAATAAACATGGATTTTCAATAAATGACATCAAAAATATTTTAATGACTGTACCTAGCATTTTGGAAATTAAACCAAATGATTTAAATAATACAATTAACAAGTGGAGAGAGCAAAAATTAGGTGAAAAAAAATTATTAATGATTATTAATAACACTCCTTGGTTGTTGTTATTAAAAGATAAATATATAGATGAAAGAGTAAAAGATATTTACAAGATGTTTACAAATTTGGATAGACATAAATTATTAGAAATATGTCCTTTAATATTTATTGAAGATTGGAATAGTATACTTGAAAAAATTCAATATATACAAGAAGCTATGGGATTTACTCAGATGCAGATCGTAAAAGGAAAGTGTTTAGAACATACTTTATTACATATTAAAACTAGGCATATGTGTGCCGTTATGTGTGGAAAATTTAAAAGATTATCTCCAAAGAAAAATATCTTAACTAATATTTCATTGAAAAAGATTGCTGATACAACAAATAGAGATTTTGCAAAAATTTGTGGAATATCATTAGAAGAATACTATGTATTTTGTGATATTATGAAGGAATTAGATTTAGATGAAAACTCAGATGATGATGTATGAGTATAAAATTATTTTAATTTGAAATAAATTAGAACGTGAAAAATATACAGTACTGTATTAATTATTAGAATGTAGTTTAATGAACTATTTCACAGTTTTGTTTAATTTCAACTGTAAATATAAATGTGTCCTATTATAAGCAACAATCCATTAAATTACCTAAAAGAATCTTAGAACAATTAAATATTTTCATGCTAATTCATATTCAAGAAAAAATCCAATCTGAAATTGAAATAAAATTTTATTCTAATTTTACAATTTTAGATTAAGCTTACTCCTGAAGATGAAGTTTGAAGTTACAGAAGCAGTAGAACATTTTGAACTTTATCTTTAGTGAGGTACTTTTCCTAAGTTACTGAGTTTTAGCACCTTTTCAATGATTTTATTACAAAAAAGTAAAAATTATTATCTTAATAATAAAAAGTCTGTTCTCCAAATATTTTAAACAACAGTTCACTTTTCAACATTTCAATGTTTAAAATATTTTTTTCTAGTCTTTTATTGTAAATTTCAAAGACTAATTTACAATAATTATCATTCCAAACAATCAATCAATGAATGTGGTTTGTCTGATGAAACATGCATCATAAAAAATTGTGCAATGCCAGAAAATATTGAAGTATAAAATCCTTAATAATTTATAATAAAATTCAGCTATTTTTGTTTAAAAATACTTTTTACTCTGCCCAGTATATGTTAAGAAGACAATTGTGAGTTTGGCCAGACCCACAATGAGGCAGCTGGGGTTGAAGTACAGACCACCTTTGAAAGTTTCTGACTTTTCAGTCTGATTGGATTCACTCCCAGACTTTCCATAGTGGTAGGTTGATGCCTTAACTACTTCATCCATCCATCTTGCCAGCAATACTTCCTATTGAAGACAGCTGGTAAAGGTATCAGCCTACGTCTGGGGACATGTGAACAACTACAGGAATTTTCATGGACAGTCTGACCTGAGGCAGTTGGCAACACAGCACTTATCCACTGTCCCCAACTTATGTGATGTCAGGACTGAGGCTAACTCACTTTTTGGGTCGACATGCATCCGTTCGGATGTTCATCTCATTGTGCACCCCGACCACTGCTTCCACAGTCAGCGTAACTTTAACCCTTGTATATTGCTTTGTAAAATAAACTTGTGGCAACAACCATTGGACTCTTTTGTCTGTCCTGGAATCATTCATTCGCCACCACGACAATCCTCTTCGTGGATGTAATCCACGAGCAGAATTGTCGGCATTGACCGACATAGCCGATTTTCATTCTCAAGAGGTACGCCTTAGTGGCCTCCTCAGTCCCTTACCACTCAGTTATGTTTCTGATTAAACCCATGAGGAGTATGGAAAAAGGCTTTAAATATGTCTACAGGGCAGAGAGAAAATCTTATTAAAATTATTCTAAAGTTGTTAATTAATATACAGTGATAACCAGTCAGTTTTGTGAGTTTGTTGTTGGTTTTTCTTTCTCCACAGATGGTGCTGCTTCATAACACAATGAATTATTATTTATGATTAATTTTTATTGTAATCCAAAGTAGGATTGTTCAGCGGATTTAAAATATTAAGAGATGATATTATTATTACGAGTTAAGCCGCAGTTCAAGCAACTTAGAAGCCTAAGTATTCCTCAACTGCACCCTCCAAAACCAAGCCTAATTTAACGTGATTAAACACTTTCCCTTTTGTTTTCCTTACACATACAGGGGTGGGAGGTAGAAAATCTCTCTTGCTTTCATTTTATTTTGTGTTGATCTCAGCTTTCACTTAAAACGCATTCTTTTCGCGCATACTTTTGTAACAAAATAGGCTTTTGCGTAAAACTATCTTCCTACGTAAAACTATCTTGAAAGAATAGACCTATAAATTTTCACTTTCATCCATCTGTCTTTCCTTAATCTCGAGAACAGAGTTAGATAGATCGTACTTGTATCATAGAGATCATATGTGGAAAGAATGGTGCAGGAAGCCCCGATTAGCTGTATACGAACTTCAGATGCAAACCGAAAGTCGCCTGATTTCAATTCAAAAATTTTTCCCAGAACGGAGTTACATAAATGGGTTTGTTTCTTTGTTATCGGGACTACTAATTTGAGGTGGAGAGCATATATTTTAAATTTAAAAAAATTAAAAATATGATTAAAAATTGCAACCAGGCATTGTTAGTTATTTAAATAGATTGCTAGTGAATAATTGTAAATATTTTTAAGTTTGAGATATTTATTTGTTCTTTCATTAATTGCTTCAGCTTTAGTGAGAGAAGAATTATTGTTTTCTTACAAGAACTAATAGGAGAATATATACAATTTAGCCTAAAATCAGGTCCATACGTAGGATTTTTTACAAAATACTGGAAATGGCAAAAATAAACAGTTTATTTATTTTAATTCTAAAATAGATAATTGACGCGAAACAAAGATATAAAAACCTGTTTTTATTATTTTTACGTATTTCTGCTCGTGAGACGAGATGATGCCAAAATCATGTGACAGCTGCAGCCAATTATCGTGATTATTAAATCGGTGATATTATATTGGCTTGTTAATAAAATTGCTTTATTCAAAGATTGATTCTACAGTCAAATATTAAAAACAGGCAAAACCGAAAACAGCCCGAAAATCGGAGATGTCTAGTCACCCCATCTTAGTGCCAACGAAGAGAGGAGTTAAAGAAACTGCAAGTACTGTCAGGGCTGTGGAGTC